TATAGAACATACTATTGTAATATTTAATCTACCTGGAACATTATAGAACATACTATTGTAATATTTAATCTACCTGGTACATTATAGAACATACTATGTCGCAAGACTTCTATCTCCCCTCCAATAGAATTGACTGATTCCAATGTGTCTCTCATGCAAATCATCATGTGTCAACTCTCCACCAATAAGAGTGCAACATACTTTCATGATGCATGTGACTGCATTTATTCAGTTCTACCGAATTATCACTTCGAGTTTTGGCAGAGGATCGAAGCACCAGTTTTCAGTGGGGAGGAAGTGTGAGAAGGGGTAATTACCTTTCGGAAGTACATTTTCAGTGTAGGAAAATTATAATTTCCAATATGGTACATTACCTCCTCTCACATAAATAGCTGCAATTCCAACAGTGAGGGAAAGAAAGAAGCGTCCTTCAAAAGTATCTAAAGGACACCCCCTAAGATGAGACAGTCAGATTTTAAGATCTGATGAGGGAAACTGCACCACTTCTGAACCAACAACAGGTCTCCCCCATCTGTAGGCTGTGAAAATAGTGCTAAAAGTATAACACCTGAAGTGGGAACATGAACCTCAGAATTCATTATAGAAATTCATAAATCAAACAAAAGTCTTTGATGTAAAATATCTGAGTATGAGAAAAAAAATAAAGACTGGGAAATTAAGTTAAATTAAAAGATTTCTTCAATGTAAAGAAAAAAAATAATAATGAAGAAATCCCACTTCGGCAATTAAACAATTAAAATCACGATTCAAACGAAGAGCACCGAAAGAAAAAACATCTGAGCAAGAGTACTGCCAAATAAGAAGTGATAGTTCGGTAGAATTGAACAAAAGCCACGTGAGTCATGAAAGTATGTTGCACTCTTATTGGTGGAAGGTTGACGCATGATGATTTGCATGAGAAGTGCATTGAAATCAGTCAATTCCAATAGAAGGGAGATAGAAATATTGTGGCATGCGTAAAGAATTTTTTGCATATAGAGGGCAGCACTGAACAAGACTAACTGGTTATGTGAGTGGAGGTAATGTACCCTAACAAAATATTAATTTCAACATTAAATCAGTAAGTTGTGTTTCTTTTCAACAATATCAGAACTGAAGAAACTTGAGTTTCTAAAGAATTTGGTAAACTATAAATATCCATTCCCTTCAAAAATAAGATAAAACGTTACATGATTTACAATATATTTCGGAACAAGAAATGATAATTGTAACACCTACTTGTGCTCCAACAATGTAAAAGTCATTTACAGTATTTTCAAGAATATTTCCCCAGTATTTGTCAATTAATCTGAAAAAAAAACAAGAAACATACAAATATGTTTGGATCATTTAAAGATGAATCAACAGCTCATTTTGCAATACCCATTTACTTGAGAAAAAACATTCCAAAAAGATGTTGGAAATAATCTGAGTAGCTCATACAGTTTTCATTTCAATTAGTGACAAAACTTACTTATTAACTACCCCAACAGGCAGGTTTACATTCAGTGATTGTTAAATGTTTAAAGAAACAATTAACTTATGGGTACAGATGATTTCTTCATTGGTCTTCATAGTAGAAATTACATTTTTCTTTCTCTATATGTCAACCATGTATAAAATACACACATCTGTACCAATATATACTTTGAATAATCAGCTGATTCTTACTTGAGTGCTTCTTCTGCCTCCATTACAGAGTTGTCATCCTTCTGTACAACGTGAAACAAAACGTCTGTACTGGATAGAAAAAAGGATTTCATGTTAATGACATAAAAATTTATAATGATGAAGTACAGGTGTCAGGTTTTTATCTATGTATGTATGGGCTGGATTCTTTACAATAGGTTTCTGTGACTTGTTGGCAATACATTTCAACAGTAAACAAATAGCACACATTCCACTTGTTTTAGAATAATATATTAAAATAAGTCAAACATATTTACAAATTTTTGTCAAACTGTTGGTTATCACAGTTGTATTCAGAGCTTTAAATAATTGTATCTTTTTTTTCTTCAAAGTCCACACAGGCAGGTTCAATTCACAAGTAAATTATTTCTCCTTTACTCTGTTATTATTGTACGATCTGTCTTTATGGCTAAACTCACAATCACGCAATCTAGATCTATCTCTCCATAACTACCTCAAACTATATTTTGGATGCATATTTATAACCTGACAAAGGCCTAGAATGTTCCACACACTATGAGCTATTATGATGCAATAATACTCAATTAAAACAATGAGAAAACTTAGAAGGTTATAATAACATTGCACAGTAATAAAATAATCTCCAATTTATAACTAGTGAACTACACAACATATGATAAATGGTGATGTAAACAAACCTGAGATAAACTATCACTTTTAAAAACAACTAAGTTTATACTTAAACCATCTAAGTCATAAAACTCACATTAAACTTAAACAGACGTGTATATCTAACAATATAGTAGCTATCCCTTCAGATAACCATGACATATCTTTCAGGCAGTAAGTCTGAACATTAAACTTAAACAGACGTGTATATCTAACAATATAGTAGATATCCCCTCAGAAAACCATGACATATCTTTCAGGCAGTAAGTCTGATGCTACTGTGAGGTATAGTTTTCCCCCAGATAAAGACAAAATATGTTTGAAATAGGAAACCCAGTTTTCCTGAAAATCACCATTCAACAAGTATTGGAGTTTTCAAACAAGTCATAATGAGATTAATGCACAGATCTTTGTGGCTACATGTTTTAGTGACCTAGCAGTGAGAGCTACATGTTTGAGTGACCTAGCAGTGAGAGCTACATGTTTGAGTGACCTAGCAGTGAGAGCTACATGTTTGAGTGACCAAGCAGTGAGAGCTACATGTTTGAGTGACCCAGCAGTGATGGCTATATATTTGAGTGACCTAGCAGTGATGGCTACATATTTGAGTGACCTAGCAGTGATGGCTACATATTTGAGTGACCTAGCAGTGAGAGCTACATGTTTGAGTGACCTAGCAGTGATGGCTACATATTTGAGTGACCTAGCAGTGATGGCTACATATTTGAGTGACTTAGCAGTGATGGTTACATATTTGAGTGACCTAGCAGTGATGGCTACATATTTGAGTGACCTAGCAGTGATGGCTACATATTTGAGTGACCTAGCAGTGATGGCTACATATTTGAGTGACTTAGCAGTGAGAGCTACATCTTATGGAATATAGACCAGTGTTTTCCAACCCATAAGCTACTGCACTCTGGTAGATCTGAATACTTCACCATGCCCTAGTAACATTAGTTATTCTAACAATTTTTCTGGCTTTCTAAGTATGTAACTCACTAAAACATCATGACATGTGCACTTAGACCCACCTGTCATGAAAAGGTTAATTATCAGAAGCATATAAAAATGGTGAAATATTCGTAGAGCATTTCACACCATGACATATAATTATCCGTGTGCCAGCAATTGGGAAACACTATTGTAGACTATCTGTCACATACTACACCTCTTTTCTCAGTAGTGGAGTATAAAAATGTTGTAAACTATGTGTCAGGTATTACACCTACTTTCTCAGTAGTGGAGTATAAAAATGTTGTAAACTATGTGTCAAGTATTACACCTATTTTCTCAGTAATGGAGTATAAAAATGTTGTAAACTATGTGTCAAGTATTACCTCTTTTCTCAGTAGTGGAGTATAAAAATGTTGTAAACTATGTGTCAAGTATTACACCTACTTTCTCAGTAGTGGAGTATAAAAATGTTGTAAACTATGTGTCAAGTATTACACCTACTTTCTCAGTAGTGGAGTATAAAAATGTTGTAAACTATGTGTCAAGTATTACACCTACTTTCTCAGTAGTGGAGTATAAAAATGTTGTAAACTATGTGTCAAGTACTACACCTACTTTCTCAGTAGTGGAGTATAAAAATGTTGTAAACTATGTGTCAAGTACTACACCCAATTTCTCAGTTGTGAATATAAATATTTTGGTAGACATTTTACATGATAAGGTAGCAAGTAAAACTCTCAATATATTTCCAATAATTCTCTCTGTCTATATTAATTTTAATAGTTCTTTCCAGTTATTTATATAACAATGTATTTTAAACATTAAGACGAAGAAAACAATGTCAAAAGCAGTTAATTCATTAATAAGCTTCAAAACTTTGATACAGAATATGTTAAACAATTGTCCAATTCATTATTTACTTACTAATCTTGAGGGTTGTATCGGTTGTCATCACCAGTGTAAGCTCTGTAATCATCGATGATAACTATCTCAGATATTACACTCTCCAGTAGTCTGCAAAAACATCATTATATTGTTACGTCTCCATTCGTTAGTTAATTTTCCATAACTTCGTTCCAACGAAACTTTAGCGACACAAGTCCTTTCTTAAATAAAACTGGTTTATTCTTTCCGAATACAACTTTACGATACGCTTAGTTTCAACAGTCGCTCTATAACAAACGTCTCACGTGCTCGACTTCAACAATACTCAATTCAATTACACACTCTCTGACTGCAGTTCAATTACTCACTACCCTCTTGTTCCATCACGTTGTGAGCGTCTTATATATACAAGACTAACACATATCTAGTAAATGCTAGGGCATTCTTGAAGGAACAGGATATTTCTAGAAAGAGGTGGCGTGATACTAGTTACGTGACCTCGCTGACGCAACAATATCAAACACAGAAAAATTTGATTAAAATAACTATGAGTGTAAAATATCACAACAGATTATATCAAAGAAATTTGTGTTTTCAACAATATTAAAAATACACAATATAAGCACAACTACAATAAACACTATTGAAAAATTATGAAACTCTTTACACTGTCAAGACTTCAACAAGTGGTGATTTCATTAATAAACTGAAAGCTTTTTTTTCTCATTTGACCAAAATAAACTGTTGAAATTTCCAAACACAATTACTTTTGTCTGTAGGCATGCGTCTTGTGTATTTAGTTACCTATTATTCTAAATATATTTCAGTATAAATAGAACTTGCTCTGGCTGTACATCCACTCCTGGTGTAATTAACACCAATTACTCTACAAACATCTAACATACAAATAGAACTGGAGTTCCCTACATGCCTAAATCAGGTGTAATTAACACCAATTACTCTATAAACTTCTAGCGTACAAATAGAATTGGTATTCGCTACAGGCCTAAATCAGGTGTAATTAACACCAACTACTCTATAAACATCTAACATATAAATAGAACTGGTGTTCACTACAAGCCTACATCTGGTTTAGTTGCTCTTAAAACATCATAAACACGTTCAACAAACTAATGTATTAAGTATTTGTCAATAAAGAGCCTTCATCTTCATTGAAAATACAAGATAAAAAAACAATATAATAATTAATAAAGGTATCAGTGCATGTCAGGTCAACAACATTAAGCCTGTAGAAAAAGTCAAACAAATCACTCAGGTAAAAATAAATTATTCTTAGAAAAGCTTCCATTGCAAGTCCTTTTCCTTCTGGAAATTGGATTTATAATCTTGACCATCCAATCATCCATTTTTTCTAACAACAAAACTAATCAAAGATTTAGTAATCAAAATACTTTGTTATGAGATTATAGGATCCTGGCTGGGACATGAACCACAAAATGACAGCTTTACGAATGTACAAAGCTCTAATCCAGAGCTTGATCTCATCATAAAGATTCTTTTATCATTCCCTCATCTAATATGTGTATGCAAAAGGACTGACTGTCAGAATTGAACAGATAAGATCATATATAAAACACAACTTGTTCACCCAGAACTTTCAATAACACTACATTTAGTCAAAGATCTTCCAATTATTTACATTATGATAAATTAATGTACAGCACAAGCATTCATTAGAATTTTCAAATGTAATATGCAAATAATACAATGCAGAAGCAAGTATACAAATACTGTTTGAAACTAAAGGGGCAGCAGAATGGTTGTGACAAAGAAGGTAGAGATATATGTAAAAGTTCTCATGCTCAAACCCACTAAGTACACACATTGAAGCATTTTATAGCGACACTGCTACATTAACAAAATATTAAAAAGCTGGAAATTTCAGGTGGAGAAACAGAACACTACAGTAGGTAAAGTAAGCCAACAATAACCTTTTTGAATACAAAACATTTCACATTCACACTCGAAAATCATCTCTTCTGTTCATCACCAACCTGTACTTTGAGGTTAGAATACGAAACATTTAACATTCACACTCAACAATCATCTCTTCTGTTCATCACCAACCTGTACTTAGGTTAGAATATGAAACCTTTCACATTCACACTCGACAATCATCTCTTCTGTTCATCACCAACCAATGTGAAATGTTTCGTATTCTAACCTTCAAAGTACAGGTTGGTGATGAACAGAAGAGATGATTGTCGAGTGTGAATGTGAAATGTTTCGTATTCTAACCTTCAAAGTACATCACACTCGACAATCATCTCTTCTGTTCATCACCAACATGTACTTTGAAGGTAACTAATCAACAACCTGCACCTTCAGTGTTGCTATTCCCCCTCTTCAGATTCATCCTCTTCCCTTCTGTCAGGTCATAAACCTGTAACTCTAGTGTTGTTATTCAATATTTTGAGCCCTAAGTTCTTGTTTCAAACCAGTTATTCAATTATTTTTAGAGGTTACTACTCACCTTTTAAGCTTCATTCTCTTCTCTTCTGATAGATCATCCACCTTTATCTTGAGTGTTAAATGTATTTGTTGATCTTCTCTCAGTAGATAGATCTAAAGTCATATGATTGAATTTTAATTTGTAGATTTGAAACAAGACTTTTTATTCTTGACCTTATGGTAGGTTATAAGAAAGAATATTTCATGAAGAGCAATATCAGATTTATGTAAAAATCATATCATTGGATAAAAACAACTCTATCACAGAACAGAAACCAGCCCAAGTCTTTATGTTCTATCAGCTAGAACTGCTATCTAGAGGTCAGACTACTCACAGCAATAGATGAACACACTATTCCATCACAGAACAACTGACCCAAGTCTTTATGTTCCCCTTATAGTGCTGCCATCTATGGGTCAGACAATTCACGTCATCATATACTTATCCATAATTTCATAGATTCCTTTATCTTCTCTCTGCCTCCCAAACTTCCAGACATTTCTGAAATCTTCATATCCACCAAATTAGTAGATATGATCTGTCTGAAAATTTTTATTAACCCCCAATGAACACCCCAGTTTAGGAAAGTTTTCTTTCCTTTAAAAACTAAATCCCTGCCATGGTTTTTTGTTTTTCCTTAATTTTGTCAACAAAAAATAGAAGAAAAACTTACTAAGTTTAATTCCAAGTTAAACAAAGATGGACCATAAAGGTAAGTTCTTTCTTTCATATAACATATATAACTATATATTACAAACCTAAAACTTACATATTTATAAAGCTAAAGCTTGATCCACAGCTATATAGATATCAGCTTGTGTGTTTTCAATTAAAAATCACAATAATACTAATGAAATTACTTATCCACATATATCATTCATCTAGCTCTTAATTTTCTCATAAATGCCCTTAGTAACAATTCAGTTCATAAAAATGAAATCCTCACCAAAACTTGAGTACTGCTGTTTAAATTATCCTTGTCATATGCCATGACATCAAAATCAAAATGCCCCTTCATGTCACTTTTAGGGTAGAAGTTAAGGATGACCTCTCCCGATACATTATTCACATAGAAAGGTGTCTCAATGTGTTCAATGTTTTCATCTTTTTTCACCTTGAAGTCACCAATCAACTTGTAGTAGACAACAGCATTTTCTCCTTCATCTGGATCACTAGCCTGTTAAAACACAATTCTTTTTATACAAGTTTTCCTTTAACACTTACAGGCTAAACCTCTTTCAAAAATGATCATTTAAGAATGGAAATAAAAACGTTTACCCACTTCTGCAGCACCTTCAACCTTTCAACAATTAATTAAAAACAGTGGCCAATTACTAATTATTTTACTGATTACCACACAAAATGAAATGAACAATGATGCACACTTGTTAACTTTTAACTCTTAATAAACCAATGAACTTACATTATGGTGAAAAAAGGTTCATATGGAAAAAAATCCTTTTGTGGTAGCATTATTTTTCCTACCCATCTGTTCAAGGGCTTAGCCAAACTAAATAATTTAATAATTGTGAAGTTATACATACTGTTTAGTACAATTCTGAATATATTACTGCATCTTCATGAAATCTGACAAGACTTTAGTAAACACTACAATTAATAAAGTATTTTAACTAAAGATCTTTATGAACTTCCACAACTTTTATTGAGTCAGTCTGAATGAAAATACTCATGTTACACTGTCACTTAAGGTTTATTAGAAATATTTTAAAGCCACAGAAGATATTCATGTCAAACTGACACTTAAAGTGTGCTAGAAAGCTCGTGTGAATCTTGCAGTGGGAATTTAAATTTAGTCAGGTATTTTCCAAGCCAATATGTTATTGTTGTGAATATAGGGTTTATTTTAATCAGATGAAGCATTTACCAAAATTCTGGAATAAACTCAGATATTAATAATTATCCTAATAACAGCTTAACCAAACTTTCCTTGATTTTATCGCTTTTTAGAAGGTTGAGCTGTTCAAGTGTTTTCACTTCTTATAAAGAAATATTATGTTTAGTACACCTGAACTATAGTGACAAATGTTTGAAACATTAACTCGGAAAATATTTGAAACTGGTGATTGTACAGGGACTGTTTTGCTTGCTGTAAACAAAACAAGAAGCTTAAATAGCATTGGTAATCAACATATACCTTTCATACTGCAAGTATTATGTCATTCATTTGATAGCAACAGACAATAGTGAGATCATGTATACTCCACAAAGAGTTCTTTTATCTACTATATCAACCTTTTAAAGCTTGTTTTTACAGCGGTTTTAATTAACTTTTTTGTAAAGGATAAACCAAATAAATGACATACCAGCACTCGTACCACACGTTTCTGGTACTTGTCAGTTACTTTAACTCCACCTGTAAATCTTTGTTCCGTAAACGTCGGAGGATTGTCATTGATGTCAATAACATCAACTGTGATATTAATAGTTGTTAGATCATCTCTATTAAACTCAGCAACTGCTTCAGGCTCTTGTGAACAAGTTTCTTGTGCTTTCACTACTACATTATGAAAAGCTATTTTTTCTCTGTCCAGTTTCTTTTCCAGTGTTAACTCTCTTGTAATTTTATCCAGCATAAAATACTCCATGTCACCACCTGCTCAATAAATTTGAAGTCTTAAAATAAGTCTTAAGATGAGTACATGTTCTCAAAATGTTTAGTATGTATAAAAAGTATGTAAAACTAGCAGAGACCCACAAAACAATTGCTGTCAAAATGGTATCTTTATTGCAAAAGTATTTCTTTAAATACAAGATTTGTAGAATAACACAAACGAAATGTAATTGTAGACATCAAAAATATGTAAGTCCACCTGTATTTAGGTCGAATTTTATTAAACCTTAACTGATGTTAGACCTAAGTTCAATAAAGAGATAAATGAACACTGTACTGCATCTGTTTAAACTGTTCAGAATGGCTTTCTTCACCAATTAGTCAAGGAACCTACCAGAAATAATGCTATTTTAGAGTTATTGTTAACTTTAAATATAGAAATGATCAAGAAGGCAGAAATTGGGGAACTTCTGGGAGCAAATGATCATTGCTCTATTACATTCAATGTTTTGCTGCATATGAAGATAAGGAATAATAATATTTTTGTTACATATTAAAAAAAATTTTTTTGGATGGGATGCGACAAGATTTATCTGTTGTGAATTGGGCAGCTGAGTTATTTGGAGTTATTATCAGGCATGGAAAATTTTTAAATATTCAAGGTAAACATATTCCTCATAGAAAGAAATGGGTAGCTGCAAGTCAAAAACCAGGTTGGCTCACAAAGAGTTTA